CTCTGGGCAGCTTTCCAGCCACTCTTCCATATATACATTTAAGTTCAGAAGATCCTATTCACATGGGACAAAAGATTCAATGCAAGAAGTTGCAAAGATTCTAAAAGAAAATAAAAAAGGAAGATTATTTTTTGCTTAGTCTGACTTTTTGTACAACATAAACTATTATTTTCAACAAGCAATTCCTGCACCATAATATTGCTGAAATAGCTTTCAACCTTTTTCAAAGGCATGTAATCCCAAAGCAGAGATTTCAAACAAGTGAAAATAGACAGTATTCCTCGGCAAGTTTCTCCTGAATTTGTCAGTTACCCTTCGCAATTTTTACTTCATTTCTAATTTGAATTTCTGCCATCTTGGGTTTCCAGCTATTAAATCTTGCTACATTTTTGCCTGTCACATGAAAAAGCTTTTTATGATCAAGAATCTCCCACAAAATGTACTTTCACACCTACAGAAAAGCAATGTAAGCCATAAAAGTAATTATAACTTTTATGGTGGCATTCTGTATTATACCTGTGCTATATAAAGTGTAGGCATCATACCATAAACATTAGTCTTGGCATCAGATAATTGAGTAGCTGAACAAAACCACTGCAAGATAATCTCAATCCACTAGATAGTCACCTTTCAGCGGCAGTAGTCTTATTCCAATAACCATTACTGATATTTAATATTCCCTTTTCTAACCTTTAGGCCTGATCGTGACCATAAATCTCATTGTATTGTCCCCTTAAGAAGAGCAGGGTAAATCCTTAGACCAGAGTTATAATAATGAATTCAGACAACAGACTAATCTTTCACACTTTCTGGTCCTCTTTTAGGGAAGTGGATTTCTCTTCCAATTCCAATGCATAATGATTTAAAGGTGACCTGAGAAAGAGCCTTCATCTAATAACCACCTTCTCCTTCTTCCAGTTCCTATGGATAGATAGGAAAGCTTGTGCACTTTCTCCCCTGAAAATTCACTCTGTGTGTTCTTCTAGACCGCACTCATGCCTTGATGCCTTAAGAGATCACATGAACTAATCTTCTGTTAAGAAGATCAGGTGTCAGCTGTAGGGGATATAATCCTGACAGAGCTCATATATTTAAGGAAGAGGTGTTTGTCTAATGATATCCTGAGCAGTGATGAACAAATGTCAAAACTTTATGTACCATGAAGATGCACCTAAAAACTAGAGATCTATGATATGGAGGAGAAGACAGAACACACCTTTAATATACAGATATTCTCTGCCTGAATATCTGCAGATAGAGATATTCAGACAGGCTAGCTGAATGGTGCAAAATGCTATCAAAATTTTAAGACTGTACCTTGTCTTCCTTGCTTTCCATTATCTGTTTCATCCTTGGACCCTGAATATGGAACTATTCCCTTAGCTGCAGAAGTAGACACATACATATCTGATTCCAGGACCATGACCCATGAATTTTAAAGTAACAGCTGTAATATGGTGGGCAAGTGAAAACCAATTCACTGGCTTCAACCAGCAAAGAAACACCTGATCTGGCATACGTATACCTGCTTCACCTTTGCCATGTCATTCTCTTTGAGCTCTAAAAAGCAATTTCAGAAAACATGCAGGTAGATATGTAAAGGAAACTCAACCAAGCACCATGGGACTTCGGACAAGGCACTTGAATGGACCTGACATTTACAAGGTAACTGCACGCTGAAAGTAGATTGCATTCCTTCTTTTCAGACAAGTTCTCCCAAACAAATGCATTAATGAAACAGAATAAACTTAAAAAAACAAATTATTAGAACATAAAAACTAGGCCTTGAAACTACCTCTGTTCCTCAGCAACCAAAGGGAACCTTCATCACTGTTAATCAAGTATCTTCTGGGTTTTTTTAAATGACACTAAAAATTCTAGGCACTGGTGTCTCATAACAGCATTGTGATTACTTTGTTTCTGTCTCTTCAGTGACAAGGTTGGTATCAGCCACTTGGGTACAGAATCTTTAGTGATATTTAAAGACAATGCAGGTAGAAAATGGACACACCCAAAACACTTGAAAAACAAGGACAATTATTCTGAAAATTGAAAATAAGCAGAAGCTTAATGAATTTCAAGTGCTACTTGATACAACACACATTTGGAATTTGCTTTCTTACGTGGGTTTGCATTCTCTCTCAATTTAAAGGGTTATACAGGTGCACAAACAAAACAATAATACCCATTTACAAGGAGAGCTAACTTGTAAAATGGAAAACAGATCTCACTGGAAAGAAAGTGTTGCTGGTTGGAGTAAAAGACTCATTGTAAGTCTGCTAATAATTAAAAAATCCATCGAAACCATGGGGAACAACAGTTAAAGACCGTAACTGAAATTTTCAAAGCAAGAGTAATTATTCAAATAGATTAACAAGGGATTTGCATTGGTCATCACCTGGAGACTTTCACAGCAATATTTTTCTATAAACATACACTGTAATTCAACCACATATACTGGGCTCAGCAGCACTGAAGTCATTAATACGGAAAAACAACTACCGCCAAAACATGACAAAAGAGTAAGATGACTTGTCTGGTCCGTTATGCAAGCTATCATATAGCTCATTATACTGGCACTTAGCACCTCTATCCATGGACAAGTTTAGGGTGTCTGGCTAGAGCTACCTGAAATAGCATTGATTTTCTCAGAAGAGTGGGGTTTCACCATCTATTGAAGAGCCTTGGAAGTGTCCCATTCAAAGCATACCCAGATTTCTTATCTCTTCTCAAATGCTGGCCTGTGAATTTATCAAGATGTTCCAAAAAAAAAAAAAAAAAAAAAAGGTAGCGAACTGTTTGAGTCAGAAACGGTGAATTGACAGTCACAAGCAAGCAGGGAAATTAGAGAGAAGCAAGGACAGAAACTCAAGTTGCTAGCTAGGCATCTCAATTCAGGTATGAGACAGTGATACAGCCTATCACTCGTCACTCCTGGTAGCGTTCATGAACAAGCTTTCAAAAAATACAAACAAACAGTTTATCCAAGAGTTAGAAGATCCAGATCTGAAGAGAGAGAACACAAATGATACCACCTTTCCCAACCATTTGCTACTTGAAGAAAATATTTCTGAAGTAGGGTGTGTATTTTCATTGCTAATTACAAGAACTAAAAAAGACAAGTTCTGAAATGCAGACATTTAAATTGAGGAAATCATTGCCATTTTGATTAATTTCAACATAAACAGTCCAACTGCTGATAGTTTCAAACAAACACTTAGGGTGCTGAGGATTTAATAGCCTGTAAGCTACCTTGTGACTTTGATAGCGTGGAACTCCACACTCTCTGTGCAGGCAGTTGATACGGTTTATCTACTTGCACAGCGCACACCTAAAAGGTTTTCAATCTGATACGTTGGCATTTGAGACCTGTTCTAAGAATGAAGCTCAACATGTAACTTAATTAGGACCTTCTCATGAGAAAACCCAGGACTGGCTGCATTAAACAGAATTAACCACCACCGTTTCATTACTAAAACCACTTGCTTCTTGATCATAAAAATCTAACATACTTACAAAGATATCAGTAAGAGTTTTGATAGCCTTCTCTTTTCTTTGCATAAACTCATCATCCTGCAAGACATTAACGGAGGTAATTAAAAATACCAGGAATGGAGATTAAATCTCAACCATTGTAATAAGTTTAGCAAACAAAGTTATCAAATAGTTTCTAACTGAGCTGCCCAATTATTTGGTGAAATGTTAGTGATTTCCTGTAATACAGAAAAGTATTTGCTTCTCTCATCAGATAGGTAGGTCTTTAAAACTATATCCAGATCAGCAGTTTTTCTGCTCTCTGCTTATACAGTAACCTACACAAATGCAATCCCAGCCCACTACCGGGATCCCCAATCATTATCACACTATGAAGAAATGAAGATGGGATGGGCTTAATGTGGAAAACAGAAGTTTCCCCTACTGTTATTTTAGTTTCTAAGCATTAAAAACAATCAAAAGAACCAAAACAAAATCCAAACCACATCAAGCTAATAAAATCCAGCTGCCTTTCCCAATACTAGGGACATCTACCTTTAATGCTGTTACTGAATTAGAGAGAAAACTTGGGTTCTAGGTTTTAAATATGGAATTGCCTTGGGATATGCATGAACAGAACTGATGGCTCTGCACTTTAGGCACATATCCAAGCTCGTTCCAGCTCTCCTCCTACACCAAGGAACCTTCGTATCATTACTGCAGAATAGGAAGAAGAGAGGATCACAACACTGTTCTAAGCATGTAACTTCAAAGTAGGCAGCGTTTGACTATTATCAGAAGGAGAAGGAATACAATCACGGTATCTCAAACAGTGCAAAATTACTCTTACCACTACACTTCTAGATAAAACTGCACTTCTCACTCCTCTGGCAATCATATTTTACAGAGACAAATGTATTTCCTTTTAATCCAAACCTGTCCCTCTCTGTCTTTCCCCAAGTTCAGTTTTGGAATCTAGTTTTCAAGAACAAATTTGGGGGTTTGGATACAGGCAGACAAGAGCTGACTTTGAGCACTCTAAAACAAAACCCCAGTTACAGCACATTAACAGCATATCAATTCTCATTTAGCTAGATCAGCTTCTCCACAGCATGCCAGGTGTTCTCAAACACTTTAAAGGCAATAGAGCTCTAGTCACATAGCTGGCCTGGGTACACTGCACAGAGCTCTATCTCCACTCCAGAAGCGAGCTACCTTGCAAGCCAGACTGACAGAGAAGTACCAAATATTGCAGAAAAACTAAGGCAACTATTAAGCAAAAATTAATCAGTATCTGTGAACTGTCTGTCACAATAAAGTTCTAATTTTTTTCCCAGTTGAATTTGTGCATGGAGTCCTCTAGGACAGATTAACAAAATGATAGCAAAAGCAACTCTGGTATATCGTGCTGATTTCAGAGTTGTGAAGCTGGTACTGCACCTGAGCATTTGACATATGATAATAGAAACAAGATCGATCTTACCTCCGGTAGTCTATGAGTTTTTTGAAACTGTGATATAGAGTAAGAACGGATATAGTCTCCCATTTCTTCCCTTGTTTCTATTGCACGTTTCACCAGCCACTGGGGGGAAAAAAAAAGTTTTTATCAGTAGAAAGGGGAAGAATAACAGCAGCGAACACCAAACTACTGCATAATTATTTTTAATACATGATAAAAGCTAAAAGCACATTTTAAGCACACAAACAAGAACATTTATTTGTAAACATAGTAACTCAGGGACCTACTCCTAACAAAATGAGCCAGCATTAGCTATTTTATAAAATTCACATTTGCTCTTCTTCTACGTACTAAAAAGCTCAGTAGAGCAATCACATAACACATAAGCTAAGAAACCACATGGCTTTTCTTATAATCAATAAGTTTTACATATAAAAACCTAAATATTCTTCATCCTGTTGAACCTCAATAAGCCATACTGTTCATACCACAGTGGGATTCAATAGTCCAAAGACGACCAAACTGCCTTCCCATATAAGGGGGAGGAGCTCCCTGGACCAGAAGCTGGTATCCCAAAAAAACACTTTTCTGAATGTTATTTGTATATAGTGTATTGCAAAAATAGGGGGGTTTTGCATGATTTCCCCTTTATTTAGCTTGCACTGCAACTTCTCATACACTGAATTGCTTTTAATTCTAATTAATTTCTTCTAGTAAGCATGGAAAGAAAATTCTATTGCAAATTTCAACTATTAGGAATTCTTAGCTGACAAATTAATTTATAAACAAAAACATATGAAATCTTCACAAGCATAAGCAAAGTTCATTGAAATTTTGCTAATACGAATTTCTGTAACCCAAAAAATAGGATCTTCAGTAAAATAATTCCAAAAAGGAAAATGAAAAGCATCTGTGGAATAGAAATGGGTGTGGGCCACTTCAAAATTATTCTTTCAGCCTGCATCTTTAAGGGGGGGGGGG